TCTCTTTTACATTCCTTGTCATGAGGTGAGTGGTTTTGCTCTTCCACAGACTCCCAATGTTATGATTTGGGTATGAGATGTCCCCCCAAAGAGCTTATGTTAGGCAATGTAGCAATGTTTGCAGGTGAAATTAGATTATGGAAGCTATAATCTAGTCAGTGGATTCATCCATTGGATGGATTCATCATTTGAAAAGACTATAGTACTGGGTGGTAACTATTGGCATGCAGTTGTGGCTGCAAAAAGAAGGTTACCTGTGTGTAATTTGGTTTGAATTTAGTCCCTGCCTCCGTGCTTGCTGTCTCTGCCTCCAGGCTGCCCTGACCTGGGCAGCTTTCCTCTGCCACACCCTTCCATGATGTTCTGCCTCACCTGGTGTGCACCCCCCCCCATGGAGTCGGCCAACCGTGGACTAAACCTCTGAAACTGTGAGCCCAAAATAAACTTTCCCACCTTTAAGTTGTTGGTGGGGTATTTTGGTCACCGTGACAGAAAAGCTGACTGATATACCCTACCATGATGTACCTGCCTTGACACAGGCCCCAAAGCAACAGAGCCATCAATCAGGAACTGAAACCTTTGAAACCATGAACCAAGGTAAACCTTTTTTTCTGTATAAATTGATTAGTTCAGGAGTTTGTTGTAGTAATGGAACACTAACACATGAAGTAAACATTTTACTTTAAAAATGAGGACAATCTAACTAAGAAAGACTACATGTCCAAACCCATCTTACAAGAAGAATAACAAGGACGTAAGCAAGCTTTCTGATTTCAGACCTTGCTTTTACACTCAATGTATAGATTTTAAAAATTAATTTTCACTCATATTCTAACATTAAATGTTTCCAGTGCATAGAATATTAGAATATACTTAGATGACTGAAATGGAACTCGATTTATTTTTGTCAATAAAACCAAATTTATCCAGTATGTGCAAAGTATTTTGTAAAACTTTTAAAAATTCATTAATGGAAAATATAGAGCTCTTATCCTCCCTGAGATAAATGATTTAAATTCAAGGCAGAATAGAGGGACTTTTGACTAGAATAAAATCCATGGAGTCAGGAAGGATATGATGCACTGAGGTTTGAAGGAAGAATGGTTTGAACTAAAGGCTATCAGCCACTATCATATACAGAGTTCTCTACTGATCAAAACTTGTCAGCAATATGAACAGAAGTGCAGTCCCCTCAATCAGTGGGCAACTGAGAGAGTCAGTAGAAGGTTATATATTATGAGGTGATAGTACTGTGTTCATGAATAGCTTACTCATTTTAACATGTATTCTCCATCTTTAGCAGAGCACAAAATAATAAAAACTTTGGCAAGTGATTAGTCTTCAGAATTGGTCTTGTGGAGTTGGGTCTTCCTTTCTCATAAGAAGTTGATACTACTTTTTGGTAATATTTTAAAAATTCAGTTATTCTCATTGCATGGATTTATTGAAGGTTTCAGTGTCTAATTTTTTTTTTTAATCCATGAAGCAGAATGAAATGAAGCCATAAGAAAGTGGGCATCTCTGTCCCCTATAGTGAGGGCATGGCAGTGAAGTTGATTTAGCAGACACTTCCATTAGTGGCCCCCACTCAAAAAAAAAAATCTAGATTTTTTTCCATGGCTCTTATTTCCATCCCAGGAGGCATGTATGTGTCTTCTTTAACATGCAAACAAAAACTTTCTTTAAAATCTTCTCGTGGTGAAGCAAACATTGCCATCTGCTCATTTTATTCATAAGTGACACTCTATTTGTTACTTAAGAAATAGTGATAAGGACAGATTTTGAATATAGGGTCATACTAATTAGCAAGATTTGGAAGTATCCTGCAGCGGTGATACATAAAATAATGTATCAATCAAAAAGCCATAGTATAAAATTTAAAAAGAAGAAAATGTAGAAGTCAAAGTTCATGGAGGCTCAGAGAATCATTCTTTCTTGTAAGAGTATGTGAACCAGATGTACCTAATTGTATTCAAAGAACAATAACATTAGTACAAAACAAGATTTTTTTTAAAGCTTTAAAGTAATGTGAAATTGTCAGTATTTGCTGTATTTGATCCACAGATTAGACGATTTCATAGGAGTCAATCTATATGCATACTACTTGGTTAACAGTTTTTAGTTCAGAGGAAAACATGAGATCCAGGTGAGGGAGGGAAACTCACATTTGATTCCATATGAAAGTTTGGAAGAGTTTGTACTTTGAGTTTGCCTAGACATCATTTGCTTTGCAGGAATGAATATTCTTCATTCATTAACTCTGAATGAAGTTATTATTTTTCTGAGTAATTCTTATTTATAAGGGACATGAAGGGAATATCTTCATGTACTACTTGGTATCATTAACAGTCATATCTAGCTTTTCACAAATTGACCAGATTAGAAAATAGACATTTCTGCATGGTGAGGTGGCATATGCCTGTAATCCCAGCAATTTGGGAGGCTGAAGCAGGAGGTTTGAAACTTGGAGTCCAGCCTCAGCAATTTAGGGAGACCCTCAGTAAGACCCTGTCTCAGAGCAAAAAAGAAAAAAAAAAGAAAAGAACTGGGCATGTAAGTCAGTGGTAAATCACTCCTGGATTCAATACCCAGTAATGTCCGCTTTTCCCCCAAAATAAAAGACATTTCTCATTACCTATATCTAAAAGTCAACTTTATTTTAATTACTGTGATAACAAACTGGATATACCATTTGGCATAAAGTTTGCCTCTTGCTCTGGCAATGTTGGGTGACTTTATTCCTTACTGTTTCTGGAAGCTGATGAGTTCCTGTTGCATGTGCAGGGTGGGCAAGAGTGGTTCCCACCTAAAGACAAGGTGACATCAGTACATCTTACTGAGGGAATGAATTTCTCATTTTCATTTTCATGAGGAGAATGGATTCATATACTGCTTACGCCGGTGGCTACACTCTGATAGAACACTCAACTTCCTAATCATAGGCATATTCTTGAAAATTTGTTTTGTTATGAACGGGGAAAAATCTAGTTTTAATTTATAATCATAGCATCTAAGGAAACAAATGAATTTTAAATGTCTATAATTTTATTATTATAAACAGACTTAGATTTAATATTAAAATATTAAAAATAAATCAGGGTTTGAGGCCTAGGATATTGTGATGATAAATAAATATTCTCTGTAAGCATTTTCGTCATAAAGAAACAGTTCTATATTTTGCTCTGAAGTTCTAATAGGTAAATCATTCTAACTTTTTGGATTGCAAATTTATAATTTGTAAAGGTAAGCAATGATGAACCTATAAGGAAAGCATAATAGATATCATTATATAATAAAGCAGATGTTCCTATACGGTACCATTGTCCTCAGAATAAATGAATGAAATGTATTCATTCCTGACAGAGTGAGTGATATTTATGCAAACTCCAGGTACAAATTTTTGGAAAGTTACATATGATAAAAGAGTCTAAGGAGATATTTACAGACATTTAAAATAATAAGTGACCCTTTTAGGGTCTGGGGTAGCAAGTGGAGATACTGTCAGCAGCTCAAGAGCAGGGCTCCTTAAAGGAAATTTTCAATTTCTGAGCTCTCAGTGGGCTAAGCAGGACACATTCTTGTTTAGCCCTGCACCAGAGCAACACTATTATTAATTATGCAAACATTTTTTTGGATGGGTAAAAGAATCTGAGAATGACTCAGCAAGAGATTTCAAATCCAATGCCTCCACCTGCTTATTGAACATTTTTTTTTTTTAAATCTGCTGTCTGCTCTGTATCCTGGGGTTAAAAGTTTAAGATCTACAGAAAGGAGATCATGATTGCAGTGGTCTCAGAGAAAGCCCCTGTTTCCCAAAGAATATGAAGTCAGTTCAATTCCAACTAGTCCTCCTGTTCTTTTAGTTTACATTGGAAATAGTTGATTCTTTCAGATCAGCCTCTTGCTTTTCTTTAACAAACATAAAATCTGTGCAAATCTCCAACCCAATGACCAACTCTGTCAAAGGTGTGTGCTGCTCTCTCGACTTTGTAGGTTGATCATCACTTGGACACAGGGCAGCGTTTGTCAAATAAAGATGTAAAAGGCAACAGAAAACTTTTTACAAGTCCCTGCTAAAGCGGTAGTTAAAAGATTTAGTTGGAAAAGGAAAGATCCCAATCACCAGTGCCTTGGAAGCTTGGGGGGAGAAGTCATCTCACCTATTTTGGAAACTACTTGCAGATGTGGGGAAACCTCGGAATTGCTCACACCAGGGGTTTTGCAGAGATTTCCTCTGTTTTTTTTTTTTTTTTTTTTCCCTTCTCAATTTCCCACAACCTGTGTTTGTCTTCAGTCTGCTCGGGCTGACATGTGGTTTACCTCTCGGCAGCCTGGGTCTACACACTCTCCTCCGAAGAAGTAAAGCGAGTGAAGCCTTTAGATACTGAGCAACTCTAGGCATGGGCGCCAGAACTGTCACAGAAAATTTGCTTCCCGAGTATTCCATCCAACTTCCCTTCCTGTGCCCACGTGAGCCCTAGCGCCAGCCCATCAGCAAGGTCTCAGCGTTTCCTGCTGCTGCAATCCAAAACTCGATTTTGGATTTTTTTTTTTAATTGCTGTTCTGAGGATCTTAGTTCTTAGCAAAACTTTGTTGGTTAGGAGACTTACAGTAGTCTGTTTTCCTACCTAAATCGCGATGGGTCAGACACTTTTCCTCCCTTCTGGGCTGCACGAAGGTTAAACAGCAGCAAAGGAAAGAAACACACACTCGCTGTTTATTTGGGGGGAGGGGAAACAGATTCACGGCGGCTAAGTTGTCACGATCTCTCGCGCCACCCCCGGTCTGGCACTCTCAACTGACACGTATATCATCTATTAATTGCTGTTCGCGGACGCAGACACATAATATATTCATTTTTATCTTTGGTAAAATATAAATGGAATTGTCAGCGCACTAGCGTCTGTTTGTTTGTATAAGGCTATCAAAAGAAGTCAGAGAGGAGGCTGTGGCCCGGATCCTGACCCTGATTGTATGAATAAGTAAGCAGGATGCAAGTGATTGGGTTAGATGCTGCGAAGATTTTTTTTTTTTTTTTCAAGTTAGGAAGAGGGTAAAAAGACAGCCTGGGGGGAAAAGGCAAACAGTGCATCCCCAAATCCTCACACTTTTGCTCTCCTGGCAGCCAGTTGCTTTGCTGGCTTCTGCAGGCTTTTAAGGTCTCCCGGCGTAGAAATGCCTGCCCCCCACCCCCTTCCTTGGTCTCCCCTTTCAGTTCAGATGTGCTGATGTGCAGACCGGATTCATCTTCCCGGAGCGGCGGCGGCAGCGGGCGCAGAAGGCGGCAGCTCGCGTTCGGCCCCGGGGTCCTGACAGCGGCGGGGGCGCGGCGCCGGAGCCCGAGCTCGGGTGGCAGCTGAGCCCGCGGGGCGCCGCTCGGCGAGCCGCGGCCGCGAGAAGTTCTGCCATCAGAAGGAGGACCTGGCAGGCTGCGAGCGCCCGCGCCGCCGGAGCTGAGTTGGTCCGCAGCTGCCCCTGCCCGCTTCCCGGAGCCGAGCCTCCTTACCTGCCCTCCGCCCACCCGCGGGCCCTCAGCCAACTTCCCCCTGCAACTGGGGGTGACAGGCAGCGCTTGCCCTCTTTACTGTCCCGACGGCATCCGCATGTCTCCGGACACCTGAACACCCTGGTCCGGCGAGGAACCTCCCAGTGGGGAGAAGAGCACCGGTCCCCCTGGCCCCGCACATCCACGCGGACCGCAGCGCCTACCCTCCCGGTCGCGTCCCCTCCTTTTCCTCTGGGGGAGGAGGATGGGGTTGGAAACGCTTTCCCCGAGGATGCTTGTGTGGCTAGTGGCCTCGGGGGTTCTTTTCCACGGGGAGTTTGGGGTCTGCGCTGGCCTCGATTACGATTACACTTTTGATGGGAACGAAGAAGATAAAACGGAGACTATAGATTACAAGGACCCGTGTAAAGCCGGTAAGTGCCTCTCTCCAGGTTGGGACGGTGGCGCGCCGGGGCCCGCCAAGCTGGAATTCCTGATGGGTGGCGGTGGGAGCTCACCTGTTTCCTTCCCTCCTCAGCCAGCCCCTCGGCCGCCACTCCTTCTCTCCCCCTCCTTTCCCTTCTTCTCCCCACCCCCAAGTGGCAGCAGAACGGCCCGAGTTGAGTGGAGTTCTGTGCTGGTGGGATCAAATGCCCAGCGCTCATCCTCTAGTTTTGAGTAAGACATCCTGGAGTTTCTGATCCCCTCACCCCACCCCGCCCTCTAAACTGCAAAACGAAACAAGTCATAAATACAGCCGGCAGCTGTTGGTTTAAAATATCAGCATTCAGCGGGCTGTATGCATCCAGAGGGGACAGAACCTCCTCTGTTCCAGGGCGCGGTTGCCCTGCGTTCGCAGATCAAGTGGGCAGAGTTTCCAAAAAAAAAAAAAAAAAGGTGGGTGGAGATGGCATCGCTACCTCGGAATACCTTCGCAGCGTCTTCTTTTGCCAGGAATTTTGAAGTGTGTGTTCCAGGCTAGAAGGGGATTGTGACAATCCTGGAACAACTCCCTTCTAGATAGGGTTCCAATGCATTTGCCCATTTAAAATAAACCTCAACAAATATTTTTCCAAGTTACTACCCCACTCAAACTTGTGTCTTCCTTCCTGAGAACATCCCCGGGTACTGCAGTTGGACCGCTCTGCCTGACGGCAAGCTTCGCGCCTCGCGGGGTCCCGGAACGCCGCGGTCTTTCCCCTCCCGTGCACGCGACCGGCGCCGCTGCGTGTACCTCCCCCGCACCGGGCGCGCTTCCCACCCGCCTCCCGAGGTTGGAGCTCCGCCCGCCGCAGTTGGCTCCAGCGCAGTGCACAGGGCGCCTGGGGCTGGGCACAGCACCGGTCAGGGACTGGGGTTTCCCGGCTGCGTTGTGGTTGAGGTGACCCTAGCTCAGTGTGGACTGATAACTAACTTTGGAAAGAAGGTCACAGGGGTTGTTGGAGGCCGACTTGGTAGCGTCATTTGTAAGCTGAATGAGCTTTCTGTCCCCATAGCAAGCAAGAGGTGTGGGCTGTGGTGAAGGGTAGAGGAAGAGAGTGCGCTAAGTATCAACCATATCTGATTTCTACTATGCCCTTCCAGATTCTGTGCCGGGGTTTGTAGGTGTGATTGGGGTTTCTTCCTTTACATAGGTAGGTGAACCTTATCCACTCTCTCTTGGGCCTGAAGGAAGGAAGTTCACAAGTGAAGGAAAATGCTGGAAATTCCCTGGTTAATTTTTACCTTTGATGACATATTGCTCTGACAAGGAGGGTACACGGAGGGGACGTGTGTTGTGTTCGTGTTGTCAGACATTTCTTAGTGCAGCCTTAGTGAAGATACTTATTCAAAATTCAGAATAGTTTAGGGAAATTGGTCAGAATTGAATTAAATCAGAACTCAGAATTCTAATTTAATTTAATGTTACTTATAAATTCCCTTCTATCACCTCTCTAACAGTCTGTTTTCTCACCCCAAGTTTCTTGGGTCTTCTCTGATTGTTTGCACAAGGAGTCACTGTTCTGCTATGATGGTGATTAATGACCCAGCAACTCCCTAAAAGTACCTTTTGGTAGGAAATAGATTTTGCATAATGTATGCAAATTGTGCATTTCTTGTTTGTGTTAATACATTTTGCATAATGTATGAAAATTGTGCATTTCTTGTTTGTGTTAATATATAAATGATGTACATATGAGATTGCCTAGGAAGACAGGTTTTTGATGCTCTGTTGTGTGAAAGATTCAACCTGCTCTCAATAGGAGCTCATATATATCATATATACATATAGTGTGTGTGTGTGTGTGTGTGTGTGTTTACTGGAGATGGAGCCCAGGACATCTTGAATGCTAGACAAGTGAATAACCATTGAGGTACATCCCTATCCTGCACCAAATATATTTAAACATACCTCAAGCATAGATGTTTATTTTCCTCAGCAAATAAACATCTAAGGCAATGAAAAAGAACTTTCAAAGCATTTACTTTTTATTTACTTTGGGTACAAGTTTATTTTGAATATAGCTATTGAAATCAAAGCAACACAAACAACAACTTTGAGTAGATAACTATTCTTCTTCCCTATCTTTTGGTTAGAGGTATACCTATGAGTGTATGTGTGTTCTATTTGTGTGTGTGATGAGGGAGAAAATAAAATGGCCCAAGTGGAAGGCTAAAAAATATATGCAGAATCTGAGATCCCTTTAAAGGTGATCTACCTTGTATTTAAATTTAGTGAAATGAAAGGCTTTAATTTACTCTGTTGGCTGAAGAATGGCAAAATCTCAGTGCTTCACTTTTGGTACTGTATAAAATCAAAGTTGAAATAATAGGAATAATATTAGTACATTGAAATCCCAAACAAGAGTCAAAAGAAGTTCACTGAAATCAGCAAGGTGGGGATGGGTGTCTGAAAGGTAGTGATGCTAAAGCAAAAGAGAGGTACTCTCTAGGTGATTGGGGCACCTTGGGTCTGCCTTGGGTCATATAGCAAATTCCAGGGCATGACTCATGCAATACAGGGCCCTTTCTGAATTTCTCTCATAGGGGACCCCAGTATTCCTTAAACTACACAGTGGTGTGTTGTCATCCTGTCAAAAATAGTTTTATGGTTTCAAAACACTTCTGGGTACATTGTTCCAGCTGGAGTTCACAGAAGCCCAGTATGGTTGAATTTATCAATCTTCCCATTATACAGATAGAACCATAGATTATGTGTGAGAGTGAATGCCTTTGTTAATATTATTCAGAATTTAATTCTTGACAGCACAGTCTGACTGCATTTAACATTCAGAATTGCATTCATATCTAGATTTTTGGAGGCCTTCGTTGAGATGTAAAAGTAGAAATTTGTCCAGATTTTCCTGGAGTCCTAATAGACTGCAGTTACTTTCATATCTGGTATGAGTGAAGTAACTTAAGAACATAGTTTAACATTTTCCAAACCTAAATCTTTGAGGACAGAGATCATAACACGTTTTTCATGTTTGTCAGAGGGGCAGATTACTCTATTACCACTTTTAGGAATCTAGTATGTTCTCAAAACCTTCTTATTATCTATAAACCGTTAATAGTCCCATCCAAAGACTCCTATTCCAAACAAGATCAAGTACACATTATCCAGAAAGAAGTATGGCTAATTATAATTTGTCAAGAATTGTGCCATCCTTAATATATTTGTGAAGTAGAATGAAATTATATACCTATCAGAATTCTGAGTTTAAATCCATAAAGCTATAGAACAGAAAGTTAGCCTTGTATTAACTTGAATGAGCTTTAATTTAGTTATTTTTGGTATATGTTAAAGTATGCCATAACTTCAGATATACGGATATAACCAAATCCATTGGTACAGAACATAGGTACTTCATTATATATAAGTATCTGTACACAAAGACGGAAATACTTCTAAGGAAAGTCTGGCAGACTTTCTTCAATGCAGTATAGGGTCATCTGAATGTGCAATCATATTCTCTTTTTCTCTCAGGTTTAGAAGGGTCCCAAGGGACATTAAAGAAGCTGATGCTGCAGAAGTTCATTTTAGAGCAGGGATTGAGGTGGTTTGTTTCATTGTTGTACTCTAGCAGTAAATGTTAATCTGAGGATTAATATCTGTGAAGAGTCTGGGTAAATTTAGTTTACAAGTTAGTCTTCTGCCAAATCTGTGTAGAGATTACCTAGAAAAACAGAGGCCTGATGAACTGAACTCTGCATGAATACATTTCCTCCCTCTCTTCCTTCTTTCTCTCTTTCCTTTTTGGAGTCAAGGTGATATTAGGAAATCTCAGGCAGTTGAAATATAATATCTAGTAGTGGAGATTGATGAAATTAGTGTTTTGAAAGCTTAGAAGTTTAGATAATTGATGAAGTGGAATGTTTGACCAGAAAGGGGGGGTCCTCTCCCTCCCTCCCCCTCCCCCTTCTCCCTTCTCCCCCTCACCCCTCCTCATCCCCCTCTTCTTCTCCTCTTCCTCCTCCTCATAGACATATGTGAGTACCCTGAAAAAAAGGACTTTTCACTTCGAAGCTTCAGGTTAAATGATTTTTTTTATCCTCTTGGAAAAAAAAAAAATCCAAGCTTGATGAAGGGTCAGTAAATGCAAGGTTCAAATTGCCCAATAGGCTCTTGGCATCCTAGCGATTCTTTCTGCTTTTGTTTCAACCAGTGCCCTAGTGCCTTACTATGCTAGATCTGGGATAATTTTGCTATGTTTATAGTTTCTAGGTAGGATGGTTTGTCCTTTTGGTCCTCTATGTTGTATTTTCTGGCTGGGCTGGCAACCTCTTGGATATGACATTTCAGAACTTGATGCTCAACTCCCTGTCTACTTTATGCCATCATGATTTTAAGTATCCAAACATTTATTCCTCCATCGGCGCCTCTTCAGACTGCCAAGCTCTCATTTAAAAAATGCATTTCATAGAGCTGCTACTCCTAACCAGTCTCTTCTGTTTTAGTTTTCATTTCTCAGATCTTGAATATTTTTTTTTCTTTCTGCCTCTGGTGCCAACTCAGAAGTGGCCAAAATATAGTTTTTGCAAAAGGGATGGATAAGGCATTATATTCTGTATACTTGAACTCTGTTCTTCACTTGCCAGCAGTAACTCTGTAGCTCTAGTCTTGAGGGATGTTTCTGTTCACCAATGGCAGTTACTGTTATAGGTATGGAAAAGAAAAATAATTTTAAAAAATATATTCCCTCAGGATAGGCCAGTACTAAAGTCTCCTCTCCTCTCCTCCCCTCCCATTCCCTCCCCTCCTCTTCCCTGCCTCCTCTCCTCTTCTCTCCTCTCCTCTCCTCTCCTCTCCATAACATAGACTCCTGATCTGTTCTCACTTTTTGTCTCTGAAGAGGATTGTGTGATTTGCTAATAATTCAACACATAATTGGATTGTTTGTTTTATATATATATATATATATATATACACACACACACATATATATACATATAT